TCTGGCACAGCCCTGGGGTCATCCAGGCTCAAGTCTGAGTGGCCACTTCCTAGCCCTGAGTCAGCCACCAGCTCCCCTGGGAAAAAAATACTGTGAGAGGGAAATGGGGGAGTGGGGCCATCTCTCAAACAGGAAGTGGGGGGCCACAGAGCCCTCAGGAATGAAATGTGAGGAGCAGGGACACCAGGTTAATGGGAGTAATGGAAACTGGGAAGCCAACAGACAGGAAATGGGGGTGCTGAATCTGCTGGGGATGGGAGAAAAGGGAGCTAGGAATCCCAGGAGACAGGAAGGGGGGGCAGTGCCCTGAGCTACAGGAGTGGGGACTTGCACTCCAAAGAAGGCCGTCATCTCCCCGCAACTGAGGACGTGCGCTCGGAGCCAAGAGAACTGGGCCTGGGCGCTGAGGACGCTGGTTATGCTAAAATGGGCAGCACCCACGGCCCCACGACCGCTAGGAGTCCTCCAAGGCCCGCCCTCCTCACTGGCTGCCCCTCCAGGGGTTTCAGGCCAGCGGCAGCAACTTCTTTCGTGGCCCCACAAGCTGCAGAGACCACAGTCCCAGATGCTGTCCAGGCAGCCACGCAGCCACGCACCCACCGAGACATCTCCCTCCCCGGGACCCTCACTCCTGAGCAGCCCCGCGCCTTCGCTGTGGGCGCTGGAAAGGCTCGTCAGTGGAAGATGGAGCCACGCCCTCCAGTCACTGGTGCCAAACCATCCTGCCTTTGGACCTGGGCCACCTCTGGACCCCGATCGGCTGGCCCAGGCTTAGGAGCCAGAGTGACCTATTTTCAAGTCCTGCCTGACCACCCCTGACTGGCTGCATGGCCTTGAACACCTGTCTCTGAGCCTCAGTTTCCTAATCTGTAAAATGGAGGGGATAATACCCCCCTGGACACCCCTACCTGGATGCAGTAAGGATACATGAAAGCACGTGACTATTGCTTGAAGAGCACAAGTGACAGGGACCTCAGGTGCCTCTCTTCCCGTCATCTAATCCTACAAACCGTTTCCAAATGCCCTGGGCACACCTGAGCTTGTCCTCCTCACCCAGTGTCCCCAGCTCCTAACAGCACCATTGCCCCCATCCCATCGCTCATACTCCCGGGCCCTGAGGATCCATCTGATGGCCCAGAAACACCGGGAAAACAGGTTCCTCAACTCTACATGCTCCGTCTGGAGTTTCTGTCCAGAGTCTGCAGTTGGGACCGAGGCTGAAGCGACCCACTATTCCCGATGGGCGTGTGTCTTCCCCTAAGTATGTTCAGCTGAAAATAAAGTGTCAGGAACCCAGGACTAAGAGAGCTGATGGCGCCAAGCAAAGGAGACCAATGAGCAGAACAGGTTTCCTTTGCTGGAGGGTCCAGCAGGGGCTCCAGCTATGAAGAGGCTTTGAGATGGAGGTGATGATGATCGATGATAGTAAACATTCTAATGATGATGATAATATAATCATGCTGCCAACAGGGGAAGAGTGCCTGCTATGTGAACACTTAGTTCATTTGAGCCTCCCGAGATAAGCACTACTATTCTCCCATTCTGTAGATGAACACACTGAGGCTCGGCGGTGTTCACTAGCTTGCCTCCAGTATCGCAGAGATGGGATTTGACCCAGTCTGGCCATCTCCCTTGCACAATGTGCCACACTGCCTACCACGCTGTGGGAGAAGGGTGTCGGGGACGGGGGCGCCATCGGGGAGAGGCCAGCGGGATGCTAAGACCATGGGTACAGAAACGCTCAAAGCTCTGAACAGTTGGGGGTGTGGTGCGTGGGGATCACAGTTCTGGACGGGCTCCGTGTCACTGTTGCTTTCATCGGCCCACGTCTCCCAAGGTGGCTCGCTGTTCAACAAGCACGCTGCTTCCCTCGGGCTCCCCTCCCTCCCACTTGGCCCTCCTCCTCGCCGGTGCTGGTGTTGCAGGCAGGACCGCTCCTGAGGAGGCTCTAAATGTGGCCCAAGCAGGCAGGGAGGCCAGAGGGAGGGGGCAGAGAGGCCTGGGCCAGCGTCCCAGCCCCCGCCTGGACACCCGCAGGGCCAGGACCCATGACACTGATCTGCTTGGCCTCCCAAACGCCCCAGCTATTTCCCGTCTCCTCTCCTCTGGACGCGCCGAGTCAGAGCCGGGGAGGAGTCCGAGAGGTGCGGGTTTTGCTCCAGGAATGTGTATATATTTTTTAAAAAGCAAGCAAACCTGGAAAAGCTTGGGACAAGCCCAGCTAATTTTAGTTTCTAATGAAAACAGCAGGTGGCCGAGAGGATCTGATCTCCCTGGCAGGGCCAGGGCCCTCCAGCCTTGCAGGCTGCAGGCACGGGCCCGGGCGCGGGGAGGGCCTCCTGGGAGGAGCCTGAAGGACCTGCAGCCCCTGTTTGAGAAGATGGGGCACGAGCTGGCTGGCAGCAGCCGCCGGGGCAGCCTGGGATGGTGGGGTAACCTGATCGATGGCACGGCTGTGGCTAGAGTCCTGGGTGGCCGGGGCAGCAGGTGGCAAATTGCTAAGCCTGTACTCAGCAGTGGCAGGAAGAAGCCTAAACTGGGGCAATGCGGCTAGGACCGGAGCAGAAGCTGGGATGGTCAAGGCTCTCCGCAGGCCGCCCAGCCCAGCGGCAGCCAAGACTGATCATGCCCAGGCTCTCTGTCTCCCCCAGAAATGGCTTGTGCAGTCGACATTTGAGCCCAGCCCAGCTCCAGGGTCAGCAAGTGGCATGGGTGTCTCTGGGGGAAAGGTTGAGCCACCTTAAGGTGCACAGAGGGGTTTCCTGAGGTCCCCAGGACCAGGTGGGCCCCTCAGGGTCTCCAGGCCCTCGGCAAACTGAAAGGCAAAAGCTGCCTCCCTTGCGGTCCCTCAGCCCCACACACTCCATTCGTCCCTCCCCTGAGTCCTCTGCCAGGAGGTGAGCAGGGGGACCTGGTCAGGACAGAGCCCTCTGTGCAGCTGCATGTTTTTACTCAACGCTTTCTGTGTGCTGCACCCTGTGCTAGGCGCTGAGGAGAGCCCAGGCCGGACATGACACTGAGGGTGGCTTCACCCCCTGCAGCTGTCAACGGGGCAGACCCACCACCAGGGGATGGGGAACAGAGAGGTCCCAGGCAGAGCTGGGTTTGTATTCCAAACGTTGCCATTCGCTAGCTGTGTGACTTAGAGTGAGTCACCACCCCTCTTCGGGCCTCAGTTTGCTCATCTGTAAAATGAAGCCAGACACCCTAAGGATACCCAGAACCAGCAACAAATGCAGGGGATGGCGGTGATGCCCAGGGTCCTAACTCTCTCCACCTCATTTCCAGCTCCTGCACCCAGTGCTTCCCAGGCAAGACCCTGGGCTCTGGGAGAGCCTGGGTGGGGGTGGGAGTGGGGTGGGGGTGGGGCTGTGCCTCCTGTGGCATGGAAGGGGACAGCTGCTGGGCCAGATAAAGGCAGGGGTGGTGGGCATTGGTGCCAGCCACGGGGGCAGGGACACTCCTCAACGGAAGAGGTTTCTCAGCTTCTTCCTGGAAGCTGTCCCAGTGACTCACAGCCCTGGCAGCCCAGCAGCTCACCCCTAAATCCCCACTACTGTTATTTCAGCCCATCTCCCCTTGAGGAGCCCTGAGCCTAGGGGAGGGGGTAGGAGGCCTCTCCGGTCCCTCTCACGTCTCGTTCAGAACTTCCATCTGTCAGGAGGCCTTCGAGGCTTGGAACCCCCATCCCAGTTCGTAGAAGGAGAGCTGCTGGCTCTGGCAGTGGGAATGGCCACACAGACACACCGGCTTAGTGTACCCACAGGGAGACAGCCTTCGAGAGGGGCGGGGACTTGCCCAAGGTCACACGGGGGGTGGGGGGGTGGCTCAGCCAGGCCTCCCTATCCTGCTCCCCCTGCCCAGACAACCCCTGGCCTTGAACCTCCCTTCACCAGAAGCCAGGACCCAGCAGTCCAACCTGGCCCCTGGCTCCATGCAGGGGGAGCACAGGTGGAGATGGGGACAGGCCAACTCTGGTCCCCCATGTCACCGAGGACATAGGGACCCCCACGCTTCTCCAAGAGGCCAGCCCTGGGTCTGAGCAGGAAAGGATCCAACTGGAGGCCCAACTTCTTGTCCCCTCACCCCTGGCCTCCCAAACCTGGACCTGGCCCACAGCCAGTAGCCGGGCTCTTGGCGCCCCCTGCAGGCCAAGAGTGCCAGGTGGACTAGCTGCATAGGGGACCCCTTCCCTCAGCTGGCAGAGGCAGGGGGCCACGCAGGCCCCGCACTGAGGAGCCAAGTGGTCCCCTCGCCTTCCAGATGCATCCTCTCCCTGCCCCTCAGCCATCTTCCCGCCCTGTGTCCTCAGAGACTCAGCTTCTGCCAGGACACTGCCAGTCTGTGCATCCGCCAGGCAGGACCTGGTAGAGAGGACGGGGAGGCCCTGAGGTTGGACCGCCTCAGCCGAGACCACCCACCTCCCTCTCGCCCGTGCTGCCAGGGCAGGGAGAGGTCCTCACAGTCACTGCGCACCCACAGTGCGCCCAGCTCAGAACCAGATGCAGCAGCCACGTCAAATCACATTAGCTTCTCCCAGCAGCCCTCTGGGACAGGAACCGTTATCTCCACTTCTAGATAAAAAGCCAGACTCAGGCAGGCCCCACAGCCAGGGGCTGATGCTGCAGAGAGGAGGCAAGTGGGTCCTAGAGCCACATCTCCCTCCGGCTGCGAAGGAAGCACCCCAGTGGCTACCCAGGAGCTTCCCCTAAAGTGCTCTGCAGGCCAGTGCCAGCCTGGCCTCACAGCTGCTCCTGGGAACGTGTGAAAAGCCCAGATGCCCACCTGGAGTGGGGCCCAGGCACCTGCGCTTTCAGCAAACCCACAAATGTTTCGATGCACAGCCAGGTTTGAAAACCATCACCCTGGTCCAACCCACATGCCTGACAAATAGAATCCAGCTGCCGCTCGCACACCTCCAGGATGGGGAGCGCGGCGACAGGCAGCGCTGACCGCACCTTGGCTGTCATCCTCAGGGTGAACGAGCCCAGCTCCCAGCAGCTTCTGCCGCTGCTGTCGGTTCTAGTCCTTGAGCCACAATGTCTCCACCAACGGCTTTGAAATCAGGCAAAACCAGGTTCGAGTCCCGGCTCCACCTCTCACTACCTGTGATTTTGCGCACAAGGCGAATTGCTTGACCTGTCTGTGCCCCAGTGTCCTCCTCTCTGAAATGAGAGCTTGTTGTCCGGCTGAGAGGCTAGATGCAATAATGTAAGTAAAGTACTTAGCCCCCTCACGAGTGCCATAAAAGTTCACTTTTTTTTTTTGCCATGGCCAGCATGCACAGTGGTTAGAGCGTCGGCCCACACACCAGAGGGTCTCGGGTTCGATGCCCAGTCAAGGACACATACCTGGCTTGCAGGCTCAGAGGCAAGCAATGGATGTATCCCTGTAACATCAATGTTACACTCTTTCTTTCTCTCTCTCTCTCTCTCTCTCTCTCTCTCTCTCTCCCTCTCCCTCTCCCTCTCCCTCACCTTCCCTTCCATTTTTCTCTAAAAATCAATGGAAAAAATATCCTCAGGAGAGGATATTTAACATACAAAATAATTTCCTTTTTTTTTTTTTTGGTATAGCAAAGATGGAGATTTATTGAAGAACAAGTACAGACTCCCACGTAGGAAGGGGGAAGAGTCCCCTCACTCTTTTATTATCATCATCATAAAAATTTCCCATATTTTAACAGGGCTTTCTGTGTACTTTTCTATGTGGTCACCATTCAACAGTTCACTCCTTCATTCAGCAAATGGTTGTTGAGTTCCTGCCCCGTTGCCTCAGGTTCGCGTCAGACCATCTTCCACGTACAAGATCCCTTTTGCCTCTGACAACAGTTCTTGGCTTAGCCAGGATCCGTGGTATCTTCCCCGCATTACAGATGGGGAAAATGAATCCCCAAAATGGTCACCTTCCCCTCTTAAATCTTCTTTGGACAAGAAACTTGCAGCTTCCCTTGTAGGATGCAACAGCATCTTCACCTCCACCCCAGCAAGCTCCCCCGACCGGGTTTGCTGGCCAAGGGTTCCCCGTAGAGGTGGTGGCGAGAGGACACTGTCTCTCTTGCTCTGAGCCCCAGGTCCGTGTGGCTGAGGCTGAGCGTACAGCCAGGGTCTGCACTTCTTCCTGGGAGGCCGTGGGAAGGCTCCTTTCCCTCTCTGTGCTCACCTATGAAATGAGGGGTCTGAACCAGACCCCCTGTCTGGGCATGTTCCTTAAGGCTGTGGTTCTCTGTGCTCTGCTGCTCCCCCAAGAACCCAACAGGCACCCCAGGCCGCCCTGCCTGGGAGGTGAGAAGATGGACCTCTCACTGAGCAGGTGGGAAAGGGAGGCAGGGAGAGGAGAGGGGGCTTTCCAGAGTCACCACCAGCTCTCCTCCCATCATTAGACTGCCACTTGTACACCTACTATGTGGCAGGGACACCTGGGGTGGGGGGTGGGCTGAAGGGCAGCAGTTATAGCACAAGTCATGCGGACATCCATACCTGGGCTCCAATCAGGTCCATCCTACAAATCAGGTGACCTTGAGCCAGTCACTTTGCCTCTGAAACATAACCGACACTTAGTAGGTGCTCAGTGAATGCACTCCTCCTTCCCTTGAGAGAGGGATCACCTCTTCCTCACAGGGCCTTTTCCCTTCCTCGTGAGCATGTTTGTGTCTTGCTCCCGGCCCCCTTGCTTCCTGGTCAAGATCATAAAGTGTCTGCATTAGATGAGACAGAGCCTTCCTAGGCCCCTCAGGAGGAGGGCGGGCAAGAGGAAGGCCGTGGAGTTGGAAGGAGCTTGAGGCTCGGCTCCGGCACTTGCTGTCTATGTCACCTTGGGCACATCACCCTCTTGGCCTGCGTTCCGGCCACCCCCACCCTGCCTGCCTTCACTGCCCACCCCACGTGCTGCAGCACAGATGCTGGTCTCCATCTGGTGGGCCCTGCATGTGGCTGGCAGTGAGGGTCTTGGCTGCAGCCAGAAGGTGGGGTCCGTGGGACAGAGAGACACCAGAGCAGACAGTGACTCCCAGCTAGCAGGCATCTCAGCAGGAAGGGGTGGGGGCCCAGGGGCTGGGACCACCCCGGTCCCATGGGGGCTCGGCCTGCTTTGCCCAACTGGAGGCGGAGGCCTTGTCGTGGGAGACAGCACTTCCCGCCTCCGGCCCCAAGAGCTGGGCCAGAGGGCCTGTCACTGGATCCAGACAGAAGCGAGCAGCCAGGCCCCGGGGTGGGAGAAGTCGGCTCCCAGAGACCTGGGCTGGGCATGGCCTCGTCCTGGGAGTGGACGGGGCAGGGGGAAGGGAAGCTCTGCATCACATTCCACCCCCACCACCCTCTCCCCAGGTACCTGGCCAAGCTGTCCTCGGTGGGGAGCATCTTGGAGGAGGAGACGTGCGAGAAGTTCAAGGGCCTGATCCAGCGGCAGGTGCAGATGTGCAAGCGGAACCTGGAGGTGATGGACTCGGTGCGCCGCGGCGCCCAGCTTGCCATCGAGGAGTGCCAGTACCAGTTCCGGAACCGGCGCTGGAACTGCTCCACGCTCGACTCCCTGCCCGTCTTCGGCAAGGTGGTGACGCAAGGTGAGGGAGGGGCTCGCGGGGGTGCTGGGGGCAGCACGGGGTGTGGGCCCTCCGCCGGGGGACCCCGGGAGAGATGGCCGTTTCTTTGGGTGGGGAACGATACACCCGCCGGTGGCCGGACTAGCCAGTCACTTGTCAAGCAAAAAACAGCGCCCTGCTGCAGCGAGGGCATAGGGTGCCCGATGAAGGTGTGATCCACGTGGGGAGGCGGGGCGGAGGGGGGGGAGGACGTCAGAGGAGGCGGCTGTTCTTCATGCTGGGTGGGCGGCATCCTCAGTGTGCAGCGCCTGCGGCCCTGGAGCTGCCATCCCGGGTGACAAAGGAAGAAAGCGAGGCTCAGAGAGGCCCCTCAGAGGGTGAACAGCAGAATCAGAATTCAGACCTGGGCTCCCGACCCCCAGCCCTTGGCACTCAGCCTCTCGTAGGCAAGCCCCTCTCACTCACCTGAACCTCTGACCACCCACACTGAGAGCCTCGCCGTGCCGGCCCTGAGACCCAGGGATAAACAGGGTCAGCGCCGGCCCTCCTCGGCTCTCCGTCCAGTCAGCCGCAGCTCAGTAGGGCGGTGGCTTGCACACCGATAGCGCTAACTGGGGACCAGACGCTGTTGGAAGTGTTTTAACTCACCTGGCCCTTGGTTACAAAAGAGGCCTCCGTGTTACAGAAGAAGAAACGGAGGCACGCAGAGGCTCCGTAACTTGCCCAAAGTCGCAGAACTAGGAAGACTCAGGCCCCAAAATCCTGCTCCTGGGTGTCGCTCGTACCCACATGAGAAAACACTGGGATGGAGGGGACACAGGAGTGGGAGCGCAGGGTGCACCCCTCCCCTGGCCAGGGCTGGGCTCAGAGAAAGCATTCCCAGAGGTGAGCCCCCCGCGGAGACCAGGAATAGGAGAGGGCATTGAGCCAAGGGCCGTGGGCCGCGGCAGAGGGAACGTCCCCGGCAACTAACTGGAAGGCTCCCTGAGAGGCCAGCGGGTCAGGCTCTGCCCTCGAGGAAGTGCCGTGAACCAGCTGCCTCTCCTCTACTTCCTGAGCGTGAAACTGACACTCCGGAGCCTCCCGCAGCCCATGGGGCCCTGTGACGTGCTCGGGCAGCAGGAAGGCGTTGCCTGGGCCAACCTTTGTCTTGGCACCTGTGGGCTGCTGGGCTTGTGGCAAACCGTGTGGATGTTGTTGGAAACCAACTGTGATAGAAATTTGGAAGCCATTCTCCTGGGAGCTGGCAGAGGCCAAACGGGCACGGTCGTGCTTGGCATGGCTGGACACTGCTGCCCAGAGAAGCTGAGATCCAGGGAGCGGAGGATTTCCCGGGACGACGGTGCCACTGCTGAGGGCCGGGGCTGCCTGAGTGATGAGGCCCAGATACGAGGCTCAAATAACAGACCCTGAGCATGGGGAGCCCCTCTGGCCCAGCAGGTGCTTGCTGTCTGGGGTGGACTGGCGGGTAGATCAGCAGGTGTCAGGCCCTTTCAGACCCCAGGCCTTTGCACATGCTGTGCCCTCTACCCCCACACGCAGCCCCTTTCTCCACCAACTCAGGAGGTCCCTCCCCCCCCAGGCGTCCCAGCTCCGCAAGCAGGTGGTTGCTTTTCCCTCTTGGCCCTGAAACTCTTTGTTCACGCTTGGATTTTCCCTTTTTTTAAAAAATAATTTTTTGTTTTGAAATAATGTCAAACTTACAGGAAAGTTGCAAAAACAGGACAAAGAATTTTTAACCCATTTGCCTTTATCAGCTTCTCTCTCTCTCTCTCTCTCTCTCTCTCTCTCTCTCTCTCCACCTCTCTCTCCCTCTCTCACTCTCAAAACACACACGCACACTTTTGTTTAAACCATTGGTGTTCACCCGCTTTCATGACACCTTGTAGCCTGTACCGTGAGCCTGTCTCCCCACCCCGCGCCCCGTCCCTAAGCCTCCAGCTCTTCCAAGGCCAGGGTGGTACCCAGCACATGGCCGAGCCTGGATGCAGCAGACAGTCCAGGGGGGTCTCCCAATGACAGGACGCGGGTCAGGGCAGGGACTGGAAGGGGCAGAGGAAGGCAGGCATGGGTCAGTGCTGGCCTGCAGCCGGGAGAGACCCCATTCCTCGCCTGTGCTTGTGACAGGAGCTAAGGCTCAGCACGTCTGGGAAGACACTGAGAACCGACCGGGCGTGGCTGGGACCTGCTCCGGATTACAGCTGGAGCGTCCAGTCCCCTCCGGGCTGAGGCAGGGCACCCTCCCGCCAGGCCCCGCACCCCAGGCAGTCGTGTCTGCGGGAGTCTATCTTCCTTTCCTTCCATCTCCTCACTTTTGTATCTTTCATTTTCTTCCTGAGTAAAATTCCTCTTGGAAACGCCTTCGTGTGGCTCCACAAGAGGAGGGACTTGTCCATCCCGAGGGCTCAGGCTGAGGACCTTGAGCAGTGACTTCACTCCTCTGAGCCCGG